TTTTGTTTTTGTTTTTCTTCATTGTGTTTATGTTTTTGATTTCTTTTAAATAAAATCAAAGCTCAAAAAAGAAAAGTAAAAATATGAGGTTGTAGACCTCAACAAGATCTACATCCCGATATTTTTTGTTGTTTGTTTTGACAATTTTTAGCCCGCGAGAAAAATCATTGCGGGTCCTGGTGAAACCCGTTGTTTCGGCGTTTAAACGCCAAATCAATGGAATTCAATGGCTGTTGAATCATTCAACGCGGAACCCGCGTTGAATCCAATTTCAGACACACAGGCCGTTGCCCTTTTAAACCACCAGTACTTGGCCCGGCTATAGGCCACGGGCGTGTCCCGTTAATGTGCTGCATTTGGGGGCCTCGTTCGCATGGACGGCCGGTCGGTGAGAATTGCGACATAGAAAAGCAAGAACCAAAAAAAAAAAAAAAAAAAAAAAAAAAAAAAGAACTTTTCTAAGTTGGGCGGGGGTCGTGGTCACGTAGGTTCTTGCTGGAATGCTTCTAACTAGTATTTCAGTTAGATTCTGGATGTCGTTTTTTTTCTGCTTTTGTGTTTTTTTCCATTTTTCTTAGATTGCCCTGCCAGCGATGCAGGGCACATCCCGTGATCTACTGAACAGCCCTCGTTGAGGGCATACTCACACTTGCACACAGACAAATGTATCTAACTAATTCCAGTGCCAAAGTCGTGTTTCCCCTTTTTTTTCTTCTTTGAGATTGGTTCTTTGTTTTTCTGTTTTCCCTTTTTCTTGCTTCTGGATTCTGACAAAAACGCCACGGGTCTGATACACCCAAACTGCGACGTGCTCACACTAGCACTCGGGGGAACGCATCCAACTGCATTCACGTCCCCAGCGTTGTTGCTTTTTTTTTTTTTTTTTGCTGTTTTCGTTTTCCAACTGGTCCCCCCAGCCTTGGCCTGTCCAGCTACTGGTACTGCCAGGCTTGGCAGGCTCGACATACCGGTCGCTGGAGGCTCGGATTTGATAGCTGGGCCAAGTACTGGTGGTTTAAAAACGAAAGAAAGAAAGAAAGAAAGAAAGAAAATAAAAAGAATGGTCTATTTGAGGGTGTAACTAAGCCTAAGTCAGCATAGAAATAAACACCATGCTTCCTCCCC